ATGTTCACCGAAATCTTCGTTAAATGTTTGCTAAATCAAACCGTAAGTGCTTTTTAATGAAACTGCAACAAAAATTCCAACGACACATCATTTTTTGTTATCGAAAAACCGGTTTGTATTAAGTTGGCTTGCTCTGCAAACTATAGCTGTTGAATCGCAATCAAGTCAATCCGCGACCCAGATTATTAAGTTTTTTTCGACGTGACAACTTCCTTAGTGGGTCCCTCTTGTAGATTCCGGTTTCTGGATCTTTGCCCATATAATTTTTTTTCTTATGCCTGTTTAAATTCTATTTTTTTTAATCGTTCATCATTAATTTTAATATCCACCCCTCCCTTCCCCTGTTGCCACCCATGATTACAACTACTCTTCCAAATTGCTTCAAGATACTTTGACTCAGTGCAAAATTGTGATTCCCTCATATCGACAAATTAAAAGTCAACCGGGGTACACGAGAAGGTGGTTTAGCAGGCTTTCCTGCCCTACTGCAGATTAGGGTATTGCAAAGACTGAGGTAGATGTTGGTTAATTCGAAGTGACAAGACACGAGCCGTCCCAGTCTGAACTACATGCTCGGTGATCAAACCCCATCTGTTAAGCCATAGCACCAAAACAAATGAAGGCTTTCGAAACCTCTTCATCTTCGTCTTCAGGGAATTTCAGGCCACTTTCTTTTTTGGGACATCGACGCCACGTATACATAAGTTCATGCTCTGTTTTCGAAAACTGGCATGAAAATACTACCAAAATGGGACTAAAGTATGTCTTAAGCCATAGATGTAGTCAAAACTGAAATGAAGTCGAGAAACTATTTGTTACCAGATACCATATGCTTCACGGAAATTAAGGGAGTTATAGAAGGCGTTTACCAAACCTCGTATTCATCTACAAATGGCTCATTCATCTATGACACAAGCTGCATCTCAGGCATCAAAAACATTTATAAGCCTGACGTCCGACCAAATGGACCCAACGGGGCCTAAAGTCCTAATATTGGAATCAAGGTAGATGATTGAGCCTAAGTCTGAGACTAGCCGAGTTTTTGGTAAACCACGAGCAATTCATTCCTACTCATGATTCTCGTCAACTCGTTTGTGACTCAAACTGGAATATCGTGGTTTGGTGGTTTTGTGGTACAAGTAAGGGTTTGCCTTGAGTGTGTCCATGGGCAAGTCACTTTATATCAATATAACGGCGATTCCATTCAGGCTAAAGAGCTACCATGGAAGCTGCGTGTGGTGAGCAGTTCGCACCGAATTCAAAATGAATCATATAGATCATGCTCCCATCAAGAGTCCCATGGAAATGAGATTGGTATACTATCAGAGGAAAAGGGGTTGTGGTTTTGATTTAAAGGGTTACATCTCTATAGTCCGATGTCCCATTGGTCCGACGTTCCATTGGTCCGACGTCCCATTGGTCCAACGTCCCGTTGGTCCGATGAAACATACTGCGTAGTTCCACTACTGGTTGAGGTTGACTGACCCTAACCCTAACCATAACCCCAATCCTAATTGTCATTGAATTTTACTCATTGGAATTTCAAACCGGCATCCATATGATGCTTGTGTGTGTTGAGTTTTTTTGTTTGTTTGTCTGTTTGTTTGTTTCAGAAAAAACACAGATCTTTGTAAAGCTTGATAACTGATAGGTGCTTCGACGACTCAAGTTGATGATTTTGACGTCACTATGTTATATGATTCGGCCTTTGTAGACGGGTAAAAACCGTCCCATCCATGTTGCCAGTGTGAGCTTGACTAGATGTGTTACCGAATTTGTGTTATCAAGTCCGAAACAAACAGATTGAGAATTTTGTTGAAACTAACTCTTCATCATTAAAAGGGCTGTCAGTTCTATATCCGAAATATGAAACTTGAGCTGACAAATGAGCATTGCGTGTCACTTTTCAAACTCATCACATTCGTTTTCTTGCATTAGGAAGCTAGTGTCGAAAAAATGGTCAACGTCATCAGTATTCGAGATTGTCCCTTCATATTACTTCATCATGGTCCCAGCTTCGACAAGCAATCGTTGGAAGTGGTGTTTAGTTGTAATCACTCTGCATGTCCCGCATCATATTAGTGTCATTCTGGAGGGGAAAAATATCTGTCGTACTTTCTGTTTTCAATCAGTCTGATCAATTTTGGACGATAACTTTATATGAGTTCCTTAATTTGTGAATATTGTAATTTAGTTTATTCCCAGTTCGTAGAGTATAACATATTATGAGGAATAACGATTTAACTATGTTATTTTCATAACAGGAATTCGACTACATAACTGAGCGTGCATATTTAGTGTTCCCCAAATCAATTCATTGGAGTCTTGTTGGACCTTAAGGCACATGTCCATTCGGGTCAAAGGTCACCCCGCGGTGAGGGCAATTAAAACCCAATCAAACGTCAGAGACAAGCTTTAAATCTCGATCCCCTCTCGTAAATTAGACGGAATGAAATACCAGCCCATGACAGACATGCCTTTAAGAGACCTTTGTATATTTTCAGGAGAGATTCCATCTAGTCTAGCATTGGTGACAGACGGGCTCCCGTACTCTGTTCAATGTTCTAACGAGACGAACGAACCCCTTCTGAAGTGGGCCTGTAATCGGGCCCAACCGGGTTTCCGGTAACCTTAACCGGCATATTGCAAACAGTGGTCTTTATCATATTTTGTTCCAAAACATCAATACACCCTTTCAGGATTTTCTGTCGACAATAATAAGTACTTGACCCTTCGCTCCTCCAGGGCCTATCAGAAGCGCCTCCGCACGGGGACCCCTGGCCGCGACAATTGCCGAGCCAGTTTGTCCGGCGATGGAAGTTGGTTAGTCCCGCAGCGAGCGAGAGAGGGGTTTCCGCTGCGCCGCAGCGTGGCGCGCCAGGTCCCGCATTTTGTCAAGATCAGCCCGGCGCGGTTGCAATGTCATCGCCGCGGTTTATAATTTCCGTGCCGTGTGTGGTGTGTGCTTTCCTTGCTCCTGGTGACGATGTGCAGTACATGTAAATACTGGCCTGGGCTTTTCACTTTTTTCAGTGTGGTTTGGTGCTGAGGTGTATAATAATAATCGTCTCAGGCGGATGAAAGGAAATCCTTGATGGGAACCATTTTGAAGGAGTGTATCTGGATGTGCCGTCTGCCTCAACGGTGTTGTTAAGCAGAGACTACTGACTAGATCTTATTGTGATCGGCGGATGCGGGCGAGTTCACTAGCATCCAGCTAGAGACACTAGGGGCTGAGCAGAAGCCAAGGGGACAGGGCAAAGCGAATGAGGGTGACTCAGTCTCCTCTGTTTAATATCGGGCTGGCACTTCCCTTTGAGTGGGGAATCTTCTGGGAATTCGCCCCACCCCAAAGTGGAAAACATTATTATATCGGGGGATTAATCCACAAGACAGATCACCCCTTGTGCGGTTTTTTTATTATCATCTCGGGTTGGGGAAGGTTAAGTAGGAACAAAAATGAAATGCCGTTTGAGTATTAAATAATGCTATTCATCTGGCAACCTCGTGTGCTTTCCAAGATGCACTTGATTTGGAGACTGTATTTTTGTTGCGGGATTTGTTCTCGAAGTAGGCGCTGCTGGCGGCTTTCGGGGCTTTTTCGGGGGCTGCGGGCCACGCGCGCCGCAGGTCGGAGGACCCGCATAATTTGCGCCTAGTGGGGGACTGACCACATTTCCCTCTACTCCACACATGTTTCTCACATCTTGTAAATCCACAAATAAAAAAAAAAACTCTAGAAAGTGGCGAACATGTGTAAAGTGCCCAAACGTGCCAAACGACGATTATGGTCACTCGTGACCTTCTAACAAGGCACAACCATATTGATTAATATTATAAAACGGGCCAGATGTAAGCATCGGTTTTGTCTCGGCAACCAATCAAAGGAAAATTGCCCCGAGTATAGAAAGTAACTGATATAACTCGACAAGGCTAGCTATGATTAGCCTTGCGTCCCGCGGAGAAAGCAAAACAGGAGAATGATTAGACCCTATTAACACCACTACGCATACGGTACGGGTGTTAGTTGGTTCAGTTGACACTCCACCTTATGCGAGATGTAAAACCAAAAGCTTAGAATATAAAAACACACATACACCATATTTTTCTTCACAGACAGGTTGGGCAGAGACTTTTGGTTTATTTTCCAATCCGTCTGTCCGGCAAGTCAGCTACAGTCACAGCGAGATGATAAGTTGCTACACACCGGAACGCCAGGTCTAAGATTTACGGCGGCGGATGGTGCATCAGTCAGTACCCGGCCGTGAATTAAGACAACCGGCTTACATGCAACCCGCTCCTCTCATGTCTTTGAAAGTGATTTATTACCGACCGAATGAGTTCACATAGGACAGATTTTCGCGTCGGACAATTTTTTTTCTTCTTCTCTTTTTATGATTCACGGAAATTAACGGTCCAAGGATGCTGGGCTGAGGGTTTTTTTTTCGTTGGCAGCCCAGCTCTGGAGAACCCAGTGCCAATTAATAGCTGCGGTGTTTTACGGTCTTTTTTTATGGGTGTGACCCGGGTGACTTAAGTTACAGTATTCTTGGGGTCCGCGAGCATCGAGGGGAGTGGTAGCGGGGGAGGTGTTTAAAGCACTTGACGAAAGAAGCCGGAGAAAATATACTGTGTGACTGATGATCTGATGACGACCGGCCTTGGATGGAGATTTAGAGCGTCGGTGTTATTCGATCAGGCCCGAGCTGTCAAGGTGCTTGACGTCTCAACTTTGCCATCGCGGTGCCCGATCAGCCTACAGGGCCCTCAACAGGGATCGGTGATTTGCTCGCGGAAGGTCGCGCAAAACAAATTAATTATATCACTTTAAGACCGGCGCGGCAGAGGTTGTCACCGGTAACCCGAGACAAGGGTTTGGTGTTTTCTATTTTCTTTCTTTCATCTGTTTTTCCCCTTCTTTGCTTCGATGAAATGGGAGAATGTTTAACTTTTGATGGATGGCCTGATTGTGAGCGAAAAACGAAACGATTTGAGGGCGAACAGCTGAGCATAGCGCGGCGCGCGCCGGGGGTGCCGAGTGGTACTGGAATCGGGAGTAAAAAGAGCCGGTATTAAGTGGCTGATAATATACCCCAACAAGACATTGATTACCTACGCAATGAGATGTTACATCCGTGGTCCACGATAAGACCTTGGGATCTCGCTATATAGCTCTCGCCCCTTGTCGCCTGTTGGTCACAACTGGTTGCCGTCTTATCCTCGCGCGGGTTGTGACCCGACATGCATGACAGCCCCGCCCCTAAAATTGCCGAGATTCGTTCGGGTCTAAAACCGCTGTGATTGGTGGAGGCAACTGTATAAATAAGCCTTTAATTTGATTAGGAGCCAATGGGAAAACAGATCGGCCAATTAGCATGACTAACGACGCGAGTGACAGGTCGCGGATGTGATGTGCCCGGCCTGTGCGCGCTTTCTCTCCCTGGGACCGGCTGGCCCTGATTGCCTCGTTAGCTGAACTCGGCTCAAGCCGCCTATATGAACGAGTTTATTATAGTCTAGCCGCATGATCAACCTCCCGAGTACGTCAGATGACGAGGCACGCTTGCCGTCACCTTAAACACTGAAGTGAGCAGAGGAGACGTACCACACGGTTCATTCAACGCTATGACTTGCAATGATGCAAACACTGTCACTGGACGGTTGGTCAGGCTTTTCACGTGCATGATTAAGGCATAACGGTATTCCGCATATCAACATTTGGACCGAAAGTTGGGTATAAAAAGTCAAACCGAGGAGCTAGTCTTGGATAAATATACGAGCTCGTCAATTTCAACCTGGTGAATTGTTGTTAAGACACTGTGGTCGCCATGGCTTTAGCACCAGCGCTAGGCAGCCACGGTGGTGTGTACATACCTTACCAGAGGGTCTCCACGGTTCGTTTACAACTCCAGCCGGTCCATCCTCGGAGCAACCCGAGGCCTTACACATCGTTCTTCATCAAAGACATCCTTGGCTCGAAGATTGGCGGGGTGGAGCGGGACAGCGGCGATGCCACGACGCCCTGCCCGCGGCCCACTTCCCCCAGCTCCGGTTCCCCCTGGTCCGTTCCGGCCACCGCCGCCGCGGCCGCGACCGCTGCCGCCCCCGGAGCATCGCAGCCGTCTCCGCCGGGCAAAGACGCCAATTTCCCCGTGCGCGACGCGGAGAAGACGTTACCCTCTCCGTCTTGCGGGATTATCAAGAAGGACGCTAACGGCTCGCCACTGTCGGCGCTGGAGGAACTGGCCAACAAGACGTTCACTGGACTTGAAACCAGCATTCTCAGAGCAGCTGAAGGTAAGTTACAATTTATAAGACTAATGCTTCCTTGCCATGTTTGTAAAGTAAATTTAAACTTTTGTTGACATCACGCTTAGATTAGATCACCATTACTAGTTTTAGGTATTTATGTTGATAAAACTCTCGGGCCATTATTCAGCCATTGTCAGCTGTAGTAAAACAGTACCAGTAGGCCTAACATGTCTACTTTTGCAATCTAAATGATGTTTTAAATTGCATTTTCAACTTTTTTAACATCCGTCAAAAAAATTGTACTTCTATGTGCTCCAGGGAGTAGGCCTACAGTTCTTTTACAACTGCTGGGCTACCCCGTACAATAAAACTGTAACTAAATAAAATAAAATGATATATTTGAGTATGTGGTCATAAACATTTACAAATAAAAATGCAGATAATGAAATTACAAGCAAAAATGGACCGTACTTTCTAATTAGTCAAGTATATATGGGCTATGTGATTTTTAGTAGTAGTACGGAATGCAATTTTCCTGCAGTGTCGTTAAAGTTTAAAACAGTTGCAATAATAATGCGCGTGTTGAGGCGCCTTTTTTGAATCTGCAACCGTGAAGCCGATGACCCGTTTCTTTCGGAAATAGTACAGTTAACAGATCACAGACTCCAGTCTACCATCGAGTGAAACCACAAAGTAAACCCAAACTTGATCAAAATGCTGTCATCACAATGATAATTTACTATAATTATAATACGGTACGGACCATGTACATTTGCAACTTCTCTCTGTTAATAAATAATCAATTAATATGATCAACTCGGCCATTCCTTGGTGGTTTTCATAATCCACAATCCTTCACATTAAAAAAAAACTGTCCTTGCCGGGAATTCCAATTGAGACTGCAGCTAGCTTTTTATTGGAATATTTTCGGAATGAGACACGAGTTAACAAGCCTGGCATGGGATCTGTACCATACCGCTCATGATCACCGGTTCACCGCTAGCGCCATTTTTGTCCCCGCGGTTTTCCATTGCACACACCGTTACGTGTCGAACGTTTCCCCGTGTTGGTACCGCACTGCCTACTTACAAGTAGCCGGTCTAAACTAATAACTGAAACACGGTTCAAAATCGAATTACTCTCCATAATGCAATAATGGATTCACGGGCGTTATACATACCTGTCGCAGCCAGCTGCCAGCGCCACAACCACCACCGAGGTTTTTTTGCCCTCCCATTTTCCCCCGCACTGGGGTTTGTGACAATCAAAAACAAGAAAGAATCTTGGAGCGAGAATCTTGGCATATTCACGTCGAATGAAGGAATGAGAAGACACCGTGCAGACCCGACAACTGCCCGAGCATAGCCCCGCGCCGTGTGGTATGGTTTGCGGGGTTGAAGTTAATCGGTTGTGATTAAGACAAATCGCCGGAACCCGTGTGATGTTCCCCAAATCATGAACATAATATTCCGGCGACGTGAAGGGCTGGCGGGCCTGCGCCCGGGCTAAATATCAAACACAAACCAGTGAAAGATTTGTCCATTTTTTTCTGAATTGAAATAACCGTACAGCTACCAAGACGGAGAGCGGACATGACTAGCCTATCTCTGGTAATTGATGGCCGCGCTCCGCCACAAATATCAAAGTGATTCGAAGAGTGTCCCATTATTCATGCTGTCATAATCTGGATTGAGTTTTGCGCCGTCGGTTCCCGCTCAAGTTTGCAGACATTTATTTCATAGACAGGGCGATGAACGGTTGTCAGGATTTCAAATCTGTCGTCAGACTTTGTCGCGGTTGTCTGTTGCAATTAAGTCAAGATACTAGATTGGCTGTCAAATAATCAATGTAGCGTTATAATGGCAATTTGTGAATGAAGACGATTACTTTGAACGTGTATACAGGTGGAATGCTGATACAACCAAAAGCTTTTAAACGTGTTATCCAAAAATGGACTTGATCTAATTGAATTATTTTATATTTCACCAATTGATTTAAAATGTACACAGCAAGACAGTTGTGGTATTTCGTATAGTGTTCAAACCTTTTTTACCTTATGGGCAAGATCAAGCCATCACGAAAGATTAAAATCAGCCCAAGCAAACAGTACACTGCGTCTAGACTATAATTAGTTAAACTACAACTGTGACCGAGATGAAAAGTATTTACTGCCTCTATTTTAAAATGCATTCAAGTAAAAAAGTAGGGAATATTGAAGATGGAAGAGTATTTCATAGTCGGCTTGTTCTTGGAAAAGGGAAGTTCAGATGCAGGCTGGTCTTTGACTCAGGGATCAAAATTCTTCCAAAAGATCAAAATAGAATTGAGAAAGTACGTACATTTTGGAGGTTGGCTGACAATATTTGGAATTACATGTACCCTAAAACTTCCATCCACCATATAATAGTTTTGCTCACCTATTAAAAATCCATTACTTGCTGCTCCGGAGAATCCAGTTGTTGTGAGTTTCAGTTGCACATGGTTAAGTTTCATATAGCCAGCCGTGGCCACATAGTTAGGGTCAGCTGGTATTCAGTGTGACTGTTTTCTAGCCAAATTCGCACAGTTGTCGAGGACTGTTAACCAGTTACCTCATGTATTATGATGTGTAACTAAAGTGTCAGCAAAAAAGACGGCGTTTGTGGTGTTGTGGTTGCATTGTGAATGTTTTTTCTTGCAAATATGAAACTTTGAAAGCGTGAAGAGCAACTGTGATAAATAATAACGTTACAATATCAATAAGATTGCTTAATCAAATGCGACTTTGAAAACACAGGAAGGAATAATGGTTTGCATATTTGGAATACTGTATTGTCCTGAGTGGTATTTTGGTAGCAATAAATAATCCTCTCTACAATTAAAAAGCAACAAAGACAATAACAAAGATATACAAAATACTTTAAATTTAGATTATTAAAAATGTATAGGAAGAGATTGATATTCAATACGATATTAGAGAGAAAAATTACAATACAGTGAATATAATGCATAAGACTGGACTATACATGATCTTGGATTCCTATAGGCACCAGACACACTGTCTTCCCAAGAAAAACAGTATCTTTGGTACCGAACATGCATTATATTGTAAAGGAAGTTTGTGCGTTTGGCTTTTAAGAAATGGTATCTGCAAAACATTGAAGTTTAACAGGAAAAAAAACCGACAGTACAATTTCACAAGAGCCATTTTGAGAGGGTACATATAGTAAAATACATGTACAAACTATCATAGACACGACTAGAAATGTTTAAAAGGAATTTAGGATCAGCTTGATGCGACAAAAAACTGGCCAAAGTAACTTTTTTTCCTAGCCCTTAATTATATTGACCTGATACGATGAAAGAGAATCTTGAGCGACTAAAAGACAAACTTGAGATGATCGGTGTGTGTCTTTTGTGGGTAAATATTCAGTCGTGGAGTTAAAGGTGTAATGTACAACATTTGCAAACATTAAACTCAAAACTATCAAATTATTATGAAATATCTCACTTGACTGTAAGTAAATAACAGTCTCAACTATCCTGTGAAATTATGGCACCTAGTATGCACTATGCTGTCATTTTCAAGAAAAGTGGAATTTTTGTATCAATATCCAACTATGGTTGGCTATTACCATGCATCGTTGGGAAAAAAAACTGATTTTATTGCAAATACTGCCACAAATTCACAAAATTTAGTTAGTCCACATTTTTACCCTGGGTCAGGGAACCAGACTATAAGAAGAACATTTTTTTTCTTGGATTTTCCAGCATCCATGAACACAAAACTTTAAACAAGTCAATGTAACACTGTTTGCTATAAAATAGTAACCCCGAAATCCGTCTATTTCTGAAACTTACAGCAAAAGCAGATGTTGTATTTACCTTTAAACCAGTCAGTTTTTTATATTACTTTTTGTGAGTGATACAATTGAAAGTTTCCAACTGATGGTAATTTCGGGTCGGCAACGAGGGTCGTGATCAACAGCCGAACCGTCTCATCCCGACACTTAACAAAGTCTTACCGGGGCCCGATAATTCATCTTTAAGTGGTTCGGCTTATTGGATGATGGCTAACAAGATTAACTGATTATCAGGGATAGGGGAAGGTCTAACTCAGTCAAAAATTATGGGGAAATGTATATGTTATCTCCGAGCTGGGATCTCGCATTAATATACGATTTTTGTTTCAAATACATTTAATTACATTCGTATGCTTTAAAGCGTCTGTTTGCTTATAAAGAGTTGTTTGTTCTAAGACATACAAAAAGTAGTCAGATTGTACTAGAAATCAAACTTGACTAAGCATGTAAAAGGGTCAGGTGCATGATTGCACCTGAAAATCAATTTAAAGAACTTTATTTTAATCAGGTGTACGGGTTTGGAGGTCTAATTTGGGCACGTCATCACTGTACACTCACGAAACCAAGTTCAATTGAGAAAACATTGTGCACGTTATTTTACAAAACAACTGCCCCGTTATTTAGAAACCATTCAGTATCTTGACTCTTTTTTATCTGAAACTGACATCTTTCGGCCGGACCACCAAACTAGAATAATTGTTGCGCCTAAAGAATGCATGAGAATAGTGTCGTCTATATGACACAATTTGAACTCGCGTAACTGAGACCCCTTCAATCCTCCAAGTATGCGACATGTTGAGGCCTTCGTTGCGTCTCGTTTGTCTGTTTCCGTCCAGCGAGAGTTATTTCGTAAGTTTGGGGTCATTTCATCTCTCCCTTAGACGCAGACTGCGGTTCTCCTCAAAGGACCATTTCTGCACTCCATGGATAAACGGTTCACTTGGGCAAGATGTCCATTACTGGAGATTCCTTCGTCATCGTCATAAAAATTTTAGTTGGTGTACTGAACATGTAGACAAAAGAAAGTAATCATCGCCGTTCAGTATTCGTCGGACAAAGATAGAGCCTGCATGGCTCAATTATGATATTGAGGTCAACTTGTATAAGTGAAGGTAAAGGGGACGAACCTGTGTTCACATCAGAACGGAGTGCCCATCTCTCTTTCATTAGCGATTGGGCCAGACTCGAGTCCATGAAATGATGCTGTGGGGGGATCGCCACACCTCCTCATCGAGTCTGTAACCTACATTGAATAATGCCGGTACCCATTTAATACCTGGGTTGAGAGGAGTAATTGAGGTAAAGCGCCTTACCCAAGGACACAACACGCATGGCCACGGCGGGGCTCGAACCCACAATCCCACGATCATGAGCCCCGTGTTCTACCGCTAGACCACACGTGCACTGTATAAGTATCGCACCGATTAAATGGACAATTATAGTAAAAAAAAATGATGCAAAATACAAATGAACAGGCGTACTTAATTTTAAAAGTCGAACCCTCAAATCAATATATTTTTATTTGACATTACGCCCCCAGTGCTTAAGTTGGTATAACTCATCGTGGAGAAAAAAAAAGATATGCATGACGTCATTGTCGCCAGAACTGAAATCTCCAAAAACAAGTGAAAACAATTGAAACTATCATGACTATTCAAAAAAATATTATATAAACTGTATACTCAGTGTTGTCCCGAGTGATTGTGAAACAAAATCACTGGGGCATGGAACTCGAGTTTGTAGAACATGTAAGGTATTTCAAAACTTAATCACGACTTTCGAGTCATAACCTTTGGAGTCAGACTAAATCGACCAATCATACTGCCAAATGTTATGGTCATCATTACTTATATTGGTTTTATTTTTCATCCCAAACAGCAGCCACTGTGAACGGCAAGCGGGATCCTCTGCACCTCTTCAACCGACAACCGCCCCGCAAGAAGCGCAAGTCCCGCACGGCCTTCAACAACCAGCAGATCTTCGAGCTGGAGCGCCGTTTCCTGTACCAGAAGTACCTGACACCGGCCGACCGAGACGAGATCGCCTCGGTGCTGGGGCTGTCCAACGCCCAGGTCATCACCTGGTTTCAGAACCGGCGAGCCAAGCTCAAGCGGGACATGGAGGAACTGACGATGGATGTCACGGCCACGTCCAAGAAGTGCACCGATTTGAATATAGCCGCCGATGACACGGCAGCGCTGGCGGCGTCGGCCGCGGCAGCGACCAAGACCTCGCCCTGCTTCAAGGAGGAAGACGGAGACGAGGACGACGACGAGGAAGACCGGCTGAGCACCGTGTCAGAGCAGCAGCAGTGCCGGGAGCAGTTCAGCCTCAGACTGGCATCAGCCGACGATAACTCTCTACACCATCGCCGACATCACCACCAACATCTGCATCAACACCACCGTCACATGAATCTCAACGCGGGGGATACGCCCAACGGCCAGGAGTCCGGCGAGAGCAACGAACCGGTGAACATCGAGGCGGTTTCCCCAGGTGACAACGGCGGGTTGGAGGCCGGCTCATGCTTCGCAGCTAACAACGCCGTGCACGGTACGGAAGGAGAAGAGGAAGAAAGCATGGACTGCAGCACCTCGCCCTCAAGTGGATTTCATTCCGACAGCGAAGACAAGTAAATTCCATCCAACTGCATGAGCCATTGAACCACACACCGGCCATCGTGGACTAGTATACCGGAGACAGGATTGTGTAACATCACAGGATCCCTATACCGATACCAAACTATTTTGATGCCACAGTGGCCATCTTGGACTTGTATCCCGAATGCAAGACCCTATTCAACACCGGAGGATCCCTCCGCTACAGAACCAATTGCTGTTATCAAAATCTTGACTCGTTTTAGAAAACGAGATATCCGGAGACTGAATTCAGACAATTTCTTCGGAACATCTTCCCGGAATTCACCTTTTGTACAAAAAGTTGTAAATTTCAGTGCCTTTGGTCTCAAGCGAGACGTTGTATATACTTGATTGGAAATAACCAGATCTCTGTAGTTTCCAGAGATATCTACCTGTTCAGTGTATAACATAAAAATGTAAATTGACTCATTACGCAAAATAAACGCGCCAGAGCAAGATGAGCTAAAGACGGTCTGTAGATAGTGCACGGCGGCTATAAATAATGCTCGCCGACCCTCACAATTAATTAAGGCTGAGTTCCACTCGTCATAATAATTTCGTATTGAAACAAACGGGCAGGGTGGCTGGAATTTTTGCTAAGTATGATTTTTTTAAAGTAATTATTGTGATAAAAGAAGAAACTTATCAAGTGCCTTTAAGCCGATCAGTTGATAGCTATTTTTCTAATTAGAGAAGATTGGATCCCCAGTCACTCGATCATGGGATCGTTTATGTAACATTTACCACATTGTTCGTGCATAATATGCGGTGACGGCGATTCATATTGACAGATAATATGAAATCAAGCCTAGAAAAGTATGCCCAAATCAAGGCTGACCGATTATGTGCTGTAGTACCAAAGTAGAATACCCTGAAGCGTTGCTGGAGGCGATTTCTTTGGGTTACAAAAATTGCAGCATTTGAAGGAAAGAATAATCATACCGACTTCCTTCATAATCTCCATGGCCTATTGTGTCGAAGCCGTCTGGGTGTTGCCGATGGTATTGTTCCTCGCGGGCATGGCGCGACTTTGTCAGGGAAGTCAATCTCCATTAAACTTGCCTTCGAAATTCCGGATATTGAATTATTATGCATTGTCGATCGATTTTCCGAATGTTGGGAGTCGAAGACAAAAGGTACCGCCCACTTAAGAATTGACCCCATTTAGGTATCCATACCCTTTTTTTTTTTTTTTAAATCGTATTTCAAACAAGAAGAGCGAAGGAATGGATTTGCCCGCTTGCAATTTTCTGCCATACCTTTCGTGCTCACTTTGTTAACAAAAACCAGAATCGTTGCGTATATATATTTTTTTGACTGTCGTATGTAGATTCAACATTCTAAATTGGGCACTATACAGCGTGGTGCAAAAAGGAGGAAACCACTTTTGACAGGAATTTTAACCTACTTACTTTACTTATTTGAACTGGGTTTTTTTTGTAACATAGTTACAAAAATTTTTTTTTTGTAAATTGCAAGAATAGTGTTATTATGTTAATTTGAATACAAGTCACCAAAATCACTGTTGTCCACGCGTAAGTTTTTTTGTGTCTTCAAATCAAGCTCCGGAGCTCAGTCAAGCGGATGGAATAAAGCACGTTTGGCACATGCAATATTTAAACTAACAAATCCCAGAGACAAAGTTTTTGCAATAATTTTTTTTGGTCACTTGTGTTTAAAGATCAACATTTTAAGACCATTTAATTAAATTTTTGAAATAATGCTCAACAAGTAGGTGAAAATTGCTGTCAAAAGTGGGTTTCCTTCCTTTTGCACCACCCTGTATAGAAACTCTATAAAAAAAATTATTAACTAGAACACTTGAGACAGCAGTTCGGAAGGAGTGTCTGATGCATTGTGTTTCCGACCAAACCTGGACAGTGTATCCCTCAGATCAGATTTTTGTGTGTGTTACCCATCAGAGGGAAGCGAAATGCATCCCAAACGGTTTAACGAACAACGGGAATATATAGAACCTGACATGTCGGAAATGGGAAAAACCTGCAAGATATTAGGGAGATTGATTGCCTGCACAATATAGCCAGCAGTATGACTGTGTGCTTCTATGTTTCTCCCTTTTTTAGGAGGGGGGGGGTGGGGATTGTCACAGGAGGGGGTGATGAGCTGCAGTTCAGTCCCTTGAAGTTCACAGGGAACACAGACGTGTAATTGTGCAGAGTCTGTTAAATTCTATAGCCGCGATGTTGCTTCCCCCCCCCCCCCCAAAAAAAAAAAAAGGAGGAAAACAATTTATTTTGGAGGGGAAGAAAAAAAAAGAGTAAAAAAAATGACACAGACATGGGCCAGGTTTTCTCTTTGTGAGGGGTGTACTTCATCATCATTGGTACTCTGTTGGCATTCTGCGTTCAGGAGGGACCTTTTCTCTCCTTTTCTGCAGTGAAAGTGTCCTTTGTCCACACACACACGCAAAATGATCGTAACATGTTTTTTTTGGTCAGTCGCTTGGGAGTTCGCGTGATGGGTTGCACGCGGTATAGGTGCGGTCGTACCGTATAATCTCTTTTGCCGATGGACGGGGATCGTGCCGTTTCATTCCCCGTGCTCGCACGTGAACTTCAAGTCAGATAACTGAGAATGCAAGGGTACTTACACCCCCCATTCCACACCCAACATTCCACACCAAATTGCTACTTTTCTTGCAATACAAAAGCTGTTCACTTTTGAAAAAGACTTCGGCCGAAAAAAAATCGGCACTCGTTTTAATTATTGACTTTACAAATTTCGAACTTGCGGCGTGTTGACAATAATTCCGTTCTCGCGGGGTAGACTGGTTTCTGCCTCACAATCAGTATAGATAATGTACGGACCAAACACCAGTCTGCCCTCAAGGTGGATCTATTTGTCCCTCCCCCCCCCCAAAAAAAAATAATAAATAAAAAATATCAAAGGGTTGCAGGCACCCAAATAAGAAAAAAGGGGATTATGTTTTGAATAAAACATTCAAGTTGGACATTTATTAAGAGGGAAACAAAGAATTTAATGTAGTGCAAGGGAAAACTAACTATAACTGGTTGCTTCAGATTTTCACAGAAACAAACGCTTGTGGCAAAGGTTCACACTTTCCTCTCTCGACATCACGTAACATCACGTGACTAAGAATTTACACCTACGCTAAGAAACGATCAATCATGTACCATTTTTTTAACGGCCACATTCTTATCTCGACTTGTCAGTTAGCACCGTGGTGCCGAAATCGATCGTTCTTATTTATGTTCCCGGCCGAGTGTTACATAGCTTGGTTTCGTGACATGACGCACGCAAAGCAGCGCACAAGTTCACGGTTTTGATCCCCTGCAAACCTCAGTGTCTGTGACAGGCCCGTCATGCGTGATATTAAACGTCACGGTGCGAGTGGAAGGGAACGAACTCTTCACGGGATGCTCTGTTTCCAAACCCATGCGCATAGTATAACGTGGAGAATGACAAGATTTAGATGTTACCGCCAATGACAGACATGAAGTTGGTACGCCCTGCGGGTTATCAGCGACACATTTTCTACTTCCGTGAATGGCCCATAAAAATAAAGCAAGGTCGAAGGCCCTAATGCGTAAAACCATGAAATCGTTGACAAAAACATTATGTATTTATTTAAGTATACGTATGGGAGCGGCAAGTGGCACATTGTGGAGTGAGATGAATAGTTGTTTTAATACTCAAATGAAAGACTAAATATCATTTCTATAGCTTGGGGACAACCCCCCCCCCCCCATCTCCTTTGTCCCCACCCCGAAGTCTACAGACACTTTTATAAATAGCCGTCAGATTGTAAATGTGCAATCCAGGTATATGTTTTCGCTTGACAAAATCCCTATTATTTTTGTTAGCAGAAACTGTCCCAAAATCTAGTACAGCGTAAACCTCTGCAAACATCCGATATTTCCCTAGGCTAAAGGGTCTATGTGAACTCATGAATTAAATACGGTGACAAACGGTTAATGGTTGTAATTTTTCTGAAATGCACGTACTGTTTCGTGAAATTATTCTTTTTGTTCACAGACTCATGTGTTTTTTTTTAGTTCAACTGCATGATTGAAACCCAGGTTTGCATTAATTAACATGTTGAACTTTCTGGTGTTGATTTAGTTTTAATGTATGGCTCAATGCCCTGTTGTGTTGCCCCTATACTGGTACATGGTCAGCTTGTGTTAACTGCATGAGTATGGCGCCTCAAACGGTAGATCTTAACCAGGGGAAAATTAGTCATGGCTGGTATACTGTTTGGCACATGGAGTTAAGATACACAGCTGTAGTATTGTTACATGTTATGTTTTTAATTTCCAGTCTGTTTGGAAAATTCAGATTCATATGAATGTTGTCAACTGTTTTGATCCAGTACAGAATAAAGCTCACACTTGTTTGACAAAAAAAGAAGATTTGTGGCAACTTGTGTTAGTGTTGGTTTTTGAGGTCTCCGCCAAAATTGCACCTTTGGAGTACTTTTGCTGTCCACACCATCTGGCGGCGCGGCACGGGGAATGCTTCCGTATACATCCCTCCTGTTGTAGCCCTCCCAAAAGCATTGGTTGGAAATTTTCAGTATTTAAAGTAAATTCTTCTGTTTTTCTTGCGAATTGAATTTATTCTGAACATTGGCATACACCAACAGGAGATATTATGATGGCTGGTACTCTACACGTGTGCGGGAGAACGTACTTTTGGCTGGTCCCCGAGGGCCAACATACACTTATCGTTGTACCTCATTGACTGACTGACTGACTGACTCACTCCCCGACTGACCGACACTTGTGAATGAGACCGGTTACTTATCTATCTTGATGCATGTCATTGAGTTGTGACTGACACTGGTTTCGGCAGCAGCGTGTTTTGCAAGAATTTCATGTATGTGATGTATAGTGTCTGCCGTTTCATGTGCGTTAGTCTGGAGCCGCTTGTTTCTTGTACTTTCAAGATACATGTGTATGTGCAATCGGTAGAGTCACAGCATCACCAGGCGAACGACTAAAGCTGATTTTTCATTTCTGGGACAAGCAATAAGCCTATGTACTAATGACGTCACGCTTTGTTTACATGTGCACTTTCCTATGGAGCCAGTTGGGGCCCACGGTCCACTGAGCACCATAGGAAAGTGCACATGTAAACAAAGTGCACTGTAAACAGGTTGGATAAAACACTGTTGGGCAATGTAATTTACCCAGCATTGGTATGAAATTACCTCATAATTATTGGGTTGATTTGGGTAAAAACTGTCAAACTATTGGGAAGAATTTGCCCAAGAGTGTAGGCAGTTGATAATTCGACCATCATTGGTCGAATTATCAACCCATTTTGCCCAACTTTTTGTACACTGTGTGACGTAATTACTGACGCTTATTTACTAGCCTTGCCTTGTCCTCTTTAAACAAAGGACTCACTTGATTCTTTGCAACAGTATGACTGTGTCAATAGAGAAGGATCGCAGTTCTTGTTCCAAAAACACGGAGTAGCTTGTTTAACATAAAATGTTAAAAGCGAAGGCCAACCGTTCATGAATTGGCCAAGATCAAAACAGTGTAACATTCTCTATAGGTTTGGCATTTTTTTCACGAAAAAAACCCTGTTCGTGTACATAATTCCTTTTAACATTACACCATCAGCAATGTCTTGCCACCTTCAATTTAATCAATTTGAACAAGTGCTTATCGGCGTAGCATCTGGGGCCCCAGCCCTAGCCCAAAATGCTTATCGCGACAGTGTGTTTGAGGCAGGCTATAATTACAGGACTGGTACATTACTCAACCCAATTTTCCAAAATAACGGCAGATATGGAAGAGAAAAAAATGGATAGGGACGGTAACACGAACACACAGGGGAAAACACCTCCAAATTTTCCTGCCGGCCCTTTTCAGATTCCGCCCCTCGCCTACATGTTTTCAGAGGAAACAGGTACTCCATGAGGTCCCAAGAAGGGGGCTTTTTATCATGTGTAGGCACCGCACAGCCGCGCCTTGCGACTTCCTTTGTGGCCTGATAAGTCCCCGTAACATATTTTTGTTATTAAATCGGTAACTATAGCTTTTGACGTCTGGTAACCCTCTTGTGTATGGTTTAAGAAGTTGCTTGTCCATCAACATTCACGTCCAATTTTGGTCACTCCAGAGTTTTGATCGACTGATGGACACAAAAAAATACATATACATGCTCTCTACAAGAAAACACTAAATTGGCGATTACTGCTGAACGTCTTTCTCATCGTTGTTCTAAAAAATAAACGGAAAAGGTACAGGGCAGGCCTACACTGTCTTAAGACTGTCGTTTAGAATAATACTGCAATCAACGTGCATGTTTGTAACTTTTGTTTAGCTGCGGGATAGCAACTCAACAAAACACCATGTCTTTCCGTTAGTTAGTTATAGTTAGTTAGTTAGTTAGTTAGTTGGTTAGTTAGTTGGTCAGTAACAAACG